CGGCCAGGAAGCGCCCGGTACCTCCGCTTCACACTGCTGGCGGCAGGCAGCGCCGGGGAGGGGCCTGGAGGGCGCAGAGGCCCTCGCCTCGGGCTCCCATAGTAACAGCCACAGGGAACCGCTGCATTGCAGTCTTTCTGAAGCCACCGACCTCGGAGCGGGAGCGCGGGGGCTCCTGGCACAGGAAGCGCCTCTATAAAACGCTGCCAACACCTGGGGGGGGGGGTCCTACCTCCCCAGCCTGCCTGCTGGGGCCGGCTGGTCTGTGGGTCATGGGAGGGGAGCCCTGACGACGTGCTGTGCTGGGTAAGAGCGCAGCCTTGAGGAAATGTAGGCGATGACACCGCCGTCCTGCTCCCTCCCGGCTGCCTGTGAGAGCCGCACACCTGCTGAGCACGCTCTAAGCCCTCAGGGCCTCCTGCACACAGAGGGGCTGTCGCCCCAGACGCAGCAGGCACGGGGCGCCCAGCTCCTCGGGGGCCGCCATCGCCTGCACTCCCCGCTGCCTTCACAGCACCGAGAACCATTACGTGGTCGGAGCCGGAATTGTTAAGCCACCGGCCAATTCAGAAGCTGGGACTTGGACCGAGTTCAGCAGCAGCTACTACAGCAGTGACCTCTGATGCTTGCTCATTCAGCCCCTGCACACGGCGGCCACGGCCACGCGGCCTCGAGCAGACCGCACCGTCCGGATGGGCACGGGCACTCGGGAAAGCCCACAGGGACGAGGCGTTCCAAGCGTGAGGTGGGCCAGCACACAGGGTGGGGGTCTGGGAGCCGGGGGTCCGGGAAGGTTCCGTGCAGAAGGACAACTAGCAGCTGAGAACCACTCAGCAGGGAAGGGAAGCCCCCACGGCGCACACGGCCCAGCGTGTCCTCAGCCTGAGCCGTCACACCACCATCATCACCACCACCACCACCACCATCACCACCACCACCACCATCACCACCACCACCACCACCACCACCACCATCACCACCACCATCACCATCACCACCGCGGACAGATGGCTGAGTGCCTGGCACCTGAGGTACGCACGGGAGGGGCAGACTCTGAGCCTAGCAGGCGACACCACGCACCCCTTGATGGGTGGCAGCTGTCTCCCAGTGACGCGGGGGACCACCTCCAGGCGGGACAGTTGTCTAAGTGGCCTGGTCCAGCCGTGTTGTATTCGATCCAAGTCTGGTGCCCAGCCTGACGCGAGCAGGCACTGGGTAAAGGGCAGGTGAGTGAATGAACGAGCTAAGGGTGCACGGGCCCCCTCGGTCTAGTACCACAGAACGCAGGTGGTGCCCTGCCAACACCGTGCTGCCTCTGTGAACCCCCTACCGCCCTGTGCAGGCTCCAGAATTTTCTCCTCCATCCAGTCTTCAACAACTCTCCACCCCAGCGGCGAGCCCGGTCACCCCAGTATTTAGCACCCGCAGAGTGACATCCCTGCTGACCCCCAGGCCCTTGCAGGGCAGACATTTTAGTATCTGTAGTGGGAGCTGGAAGCTGGGGCCCCCACAGGTCGGCCACCAGGCTCCGCCTGTCCCTCCGTGAGGAGCGCCCAGCACCCTCTCCGCCTGACAGCCGGACACCCAGGCCCAGGGAACCACGGTAAGTCCAGGTGCGGGAGGCGGACTCAGCCCAGGCCGGCTCCACGGCCGCACCTCACCAGCGGCCGCTGCTTTTCTAGGCTCCGGAACAAAGCTCAGACCCAGCCCGAGGGTGATGCTCCCGGGGCCTGGCTGGGGGAGGAGAGCCACCTGTGGCAATACTGCAGCCTCCCGCCCCACCTCCTCAGAAAGGTGAGGATGGGAAGTGAGTCTCAGAGAGGCCTCGGGCCAACTCCTGGCTGTCTGGCAACCTCCCAGCAGCGGGTGAGCAGAGGAGGGCAGAGCCGCGAGGAAGTCTCTGCCGTCAGTGCCTGTGGACTCACTACAGTAGCTAATGCCTCAGAGGCCCTTGTCTCAAACGCCTCTGGCATATCCAGGCCTGGGCACCCGCTGCCGCTCTGCCTTTCAAGTCAGAGATCAAGGCTGGCCCCGGCAGCCTCGCCCGCC